GTCTCCTTACATTAAGCCACTCTTTCATCATCTCCTCAATGAGGTGGTCTCAAAAGTCGCAGTTACAACACACATAGGGCGCACCGCACCATAGGGCGCACCGCACCATAGGGCGCACCGCACATTTTGAGGGAAAAAAAAGACGTTTAAGTGCGCCTTATAGTCGTGAAAATACGGTAATTTATTTGACTGAAGGACCAGAAAAAGGAACCTGAACCAACTGATCTAATATCATATAAGTTTGCAATGCCAGAAACTTTTATGAAGACTTATCTTTGTTTACTGGGTTTGTGCAAGAGTTGTAATTGGGTTTATTGGGATTTAAAAGGATTAAAACTAATAGTTTTGAAAAGTTAGATGATTGTAGTCTTATTAAGCAACAATAACAATAATTTTTTATCATTTTAAAAGCCTTTCAGCACAGCAGAGCGTACAGTAACCAATGCGGGTATAAATCTGGTAAATTGGCATATTGGCTGGGGGAAAAAGAGGAAATTCCTTAAATAAAGTGCAGAGCAGCTTAAAGGGAAACCAAACACTTGTCTTAATGAAGAAGGTGTCAGTAAACCGCACCTATAATGGAAGGGGTCACCCTGCACGTATAAGACAAGTTTAAGCCACATTAAACATTGACCGTTACCTTTCTGTAGATGAATGATGTCTGGAAAGTTTGCCAGCAGGCCTTGATAGAGCGAGAGCTTATCCAACATCTGGAAGAGGTCATTCTTGGGTTGCTCTGCAAACATCTCTCCAATGTTTTCATAGGTGCAGCCAGTGTGGGAGATGGCGTTGTTTAGGGCATCTGACTTGTAGGGAGGGTCCAGCGTAAAGGCATGACTAATAGACTGGAAGGCATTACCGAGCCGCTGGAACTCCTTCCTGAAACCCCCCAGGTGTTTACGAACTAGCTCTGAAGCAACATTTGTGAGCTGCATCACACTGTCATCCATTTTCTTGGCGAAGGTTTTGAAGTTGTCAACCCTCTCCTCTACATCCTGAAGGTCCTGGTGCTCATTTGGGATTTGAAGGGTCAGCATGAAATGGGCCCCCACCATCTCGTCCTTCTCTGCCCTTCTCTTACCAAGCTTCCACTGTTTATCGTCCGCACACATCAGAAAGTGCTCGAAGCCTTCATACTGGGAGAGTACTGGGTGACTGGTCATATGATTCATCCACAGAATGAGCCGCCTCTTGCGCTTCTCGATGAAGTCTTCCTCGAAGCGGCCAGTGGCCTGCTTCTCTGGGAGGTGAGGCACAGAGATTACAGTGAACTTGTGCAACAAACGATTGTACAACCAGTCAAAGTGTTTGTAGCGTCTGTAAACTGGTCGGCCAGTGTGGCTCGGTGTCACACGGTACGATATGTAGGTCTTGATCCCCTTGAACTTTGTCTGTTTGGTTGGGTCTTCAACAGAGCAGATGAAAGGCTGTGGGTTTGCCTTCCATTGAGGCCCAAGTGGACCCATCTCAATGGTATAAGACTCAGCAATCTTTGCCATCATGGGGACGTCACCAAGCACAAACGCCTCAACCCCTGAGCGGACAAAGCTGGAAAATCTGTTCAAGTTTCTGCCCACCATACTACCCTTTCTGGAGCTGGCGATGCTGTCTTGTCTTGATATTGCCTTGCTCCTGTAATGCACATTGGGATTATTAGATGATTGTGCCTGATAGATATGCCCGTTAGCTCCACTACTGCTAACGTTAATGTTATCAGCATCATCCACCACTGTAGATCTGTCGTCCCAGTCATCCCAATCGTCGTAGTAGTCTTCATCATAAATCTGCACTGAATTAATGGAGGTGTTTGGTGTAGATGGCAGATTGGGGGACTCCTTTCCTATAGAGCCTGCCGGACTTATGGAATAGTCAGTCACATTGGAGTCTGAGCGGGTGCGGATAATCTTCACATAAGATTTTGGGAAGAGCCCCCTTTCTCCTCTGCTGTTTTCCCCAAGCACCCAACCATCGACTGAGTTCTCATCAAAAATAACCACTTCCTCATTTTCCTGGATACTGATCTCCTCTTTGTTTTCACTAAAGAAAGGGTAAATGGCAACACCTTTTACTGACATAATGAAATACAAATGGGTTTCAAACCTTCAGTTTCTACATAAACACAATGCCTGAAAGCCTAGCTTATACTGTAAGGAAACATTTAACAGCACTAAGAAATGCTACAGTATGACTTTCTTGACTGTGATGCCGTTAGCCCTACTTTCAAACACTAGCTCTAAATAGAAATAAAAAGTCTAAATAACACCTAATTAAACATTATCAGCCCATTTAGGATCCTTCTCTGTTCTTGCCTTGTATCCTCCTTTTAAACTACGACATAATGTGCAATCTGTCTACTTCAACTAACAAAAACAACATGGTTCAAACCATAACTCCTTTCTTCAAACTCCTCCTCCGACAACTCTATCGATTAGTAAAATCTTCTTTAAACCGCACTTTTTGAAGGTGTTGTTCATTTATCGCTCTTCAGCTTCATCAGAGGAGCCTACAAGTCTTCCAAGGCAAACATATTTCCAAGACAAAGTGATCCGGCGCGGACAAAAACAGACGGATGAGTAATCGTGTCCTCGGACATTCCAGCCCACACCGCATTCCCTCAGACTCTTAACTTGCTGCGTTTTTCCACGTAAACAGGTTCCTGTGCATCTGCAAACCAGTCCCAAAATGCAGTGAAACAGAGAGCGGGTAGAACGCTTCTAAAGATCAGTAGCATCCATCATGGTACGTTTTTGTTGGGCCCTATTGCTTCAGTTTATTCCTAAACGCACTGCAACTCTTTCCGTGACGCGCGGCTCGGATAATTGGAGGCAAGTTCGACTGTTTTCAGAAACTCCTTTATGATCGGAGGGAGGGAGGAGAAGTGGGAACATCGACACCGCCCCCAGCAGGTGGAACACAGAACAACACATGGCACAGAGTTAAGCACATCTGGGAGAAAACTTTATGTAATCACTCCCTTTAAAAAAAACTATAACAAAGTTCCTTCGTTGTGAATTAAAACTGAATAAATTATCATGCAAATAAACCTTTGGAAATAAACCTCCTAAAACATTACCCTTTCAACAATATTTGTTAAAGTTGTTTATGACATGAAATCACCCTTTTTTTGCTAACTCCAATTGTTTTATTTTAATAGTCCCCCATCATATAGGGCATGACAAACTAATTTTTACAGGACACAGTTTATTAGTTTCTTTATTGTAATCGTTTTGTTGCCGGAAATGAATGACATACAAACTTGTTACATTGTAAAATTTCAGTTTCCGATCAAAACTGTACAACTCTGGAATAGTTTCGGCCATCTGAAATATGCTCCTGAAAGCAACCTGAGGTATAAGCAGCAGCAGCAGCAGCTAACCGGAAAGCAAGCAATGTATGTCTTTACTTGTGGGGCTCCGAATACTATAACTGTTTGACAGACTGTTTATTAGTATAGTTTGTAGTTTATAAGAAACCGAAGTAGAGTCGTTGTCCCGTGGATGCTAAGATGCTAACAAGCTTGTCATGCTAATAGGTTTAGCTCAAAGCTTGCCGCTAGCTATAGCTAACACTCTGAATAGAAGTATCCACTTCATTTAAAATAACATTTAGATTATTCACTATGCGTAACACTATAATGTTGTTATGGTTTTGACGTGTAATTGAAATATCCTGTCATACAGTTAATGTTACAGTTTGCGCCAATTTAGCGTGATTAAAACTTTAGATCCCACCACATCTTTAATTTAAAATTTGTTTACACAGGAATTATAGCCTCAGCATCCTTGATTTGACGGAGGCTTAAGCTTCCAGTTTTTATTGCTACTACGTCATAAAAAAACGGCAATTTAAACAGTTTTAGTGTCTGTTCAGACCAGATTACCGATGAACTCATTAGTTTCTTTCTAACGTTAATTGGGCTGCAGGGGGTCAGTAAAGTCTGAATTTCTTTCCCTCTTGTAGGTATTGTGATCATTCTTTAACACTAAACAAGCTTACTTCGATGTGGGAGTGTTTTCCAGCTAGCACTGCAGGCTGTTCAGTATTCCTAAATAATTAAAATAACTTGGCATTGATTTAGCCCAGCATAAACTCAATTTAGCACTGTATGGTTTCAGTTTTAGGTTCAAGCTTCCCTGAACGTATTTAACCACTCTAGTGATTAACCATTTTTAAATTTCTGTTTGCATAGAGATGTTTTTCTGAGATTTAACTTCCACATCTTGCATACTTCCAGTGTTGCCATGGATGACCTGACTGCTGCCCTCTCATCCAGCTTTGCTGTGTCCAAGGAGCCAAACAGCACAGCTGGCCCTCACCCTCGGCTGGCCCAGTACAAGAGCAAGTACAGCGTGCTGGAGCAGAGTGAGCGACGGCAGCGGTTTCTTGACCTACAGAAAACGTAAAACCATCCTTATGTTGCTAGTCGCATGAAGCACTCAAGCTTTAATCCCATATGCAATCTCTAGTCTCGTTACATGCATCTTTGTAGGGCATGAATATTATACTAATTTAGGGGCTTTAATGAAGCATTTAAAGTGTTTCACATCTCCGGTGGAATATTAACACAACAGCAACTGATTGATTGTGTAGGCCAAGAAAAAAAAAAAACATTTGAACACATGCTATAGATTAAACCAGTAAACGTGTAAGTTTTAGCCACCATGGGCACTAGACTTAACTTAAACTTCCACGTTTAACTCCCTTGTTTTGGAGTCTGATCGAATCCTACATCAGAGAACAAACAATAAGTCTGATGAGGTGAGAGTCGTATCTGTTACGTTGCCCAACAAGAGCTTTGAGATAAGTTCAAAGCAGACAGAAATGCCTGGGAAAAAAAGTGAGTATTGCTGTGCAAACTGATTAAAACCGCAAGAGCTGCTGTTTGAATAAAATCTAGATTTATAGTGAGCTGTAAGAGGTTAAACCAGAGCTGAATCTTGTAAACATCTTTGGACCAACTGCCTGACCAAAACATCACCCTCAGGTTAGAGGTGTTGGTTAATTTTTTAAAATGGAAACTGACTGTTGATATATGAATCAGATATATGAATCAGAGCCTGACCGACTGATCTCTGGGCAGATTTAAGCGTCTGGCTCATTAATTGACATTGGCCAAAATGTTGCAGATATAAAAATTCTGCTTTTGCTGCAAACAGCTGCAAGAAACTTCAGCCACACCTTGATTCTGCTCCTTTTCCCCTCCCTTCCTGATCGCTGAGTTGCTGTGTGCAGCACCACCCCTCAGTGAGCTCCCTCTGCACCCCACCCTCTGGAAACACACACACTCACACAGCTGCTGCTAGCGTAAGAATGTGCTGTGTTTTGAATTTAGCAGTTGCGTCCCCAAAAGGCCAGATTCGTCGGCCGATTGCGTTATTTTGAAGGGCAGGTCCAGTGTTTCCTACAGAGCCTTGGATATCCCGTGATTAATTGCAAGTCCAAGTAAGCCGGCCGCCCCGGTCTTAGAGGAAAAAGAGTAATGGCAGCAAACAGTGATGAATATTGTAAGTGCAGCTTATTATAATACAAGTATGTGAATAGTTCCATCTGAAATGAATTTAAATTGTTGTTTCAAATAATTATTGAATGGGATATGTGGAGGGTAATGTTTGGTTTATTAAAAGGTTTCATCTATCCCTCTGCTAATGGGTTTGACTGACATTTAAGCACAGATTCCAATATCTGTGCAGTATGCTAACTGCAACTCACAGAACAGTAGTGAGAAGTTCGCATTCTATGTTCTGTTTGTCAATGGTCCTGGTTGCTAGACAACAGAGCTTGCGCAGAGTGAGAGGCGGTGAGAGATGGAGAAGGCTGGACCTGTTTTAATCCATAGCCAAACTCTTCTGGCCTCCTTATTTTCATCCTTTGAGGATGCAGATGTTATAACCAAACCTACCATGGACTTGGAGGGGGAGAAAGTGAGCCGTTTACTCCATGGTACGCTGTGGTTTTGTAAAGCTACACTTTAGTGCCCCATGAAAACCATTTTCCTTTTGGGAAAACGCTGTTACGGGTCATTAAGGAGAGCAGACGAGTTTTATATGTGCTAGTTTTGGTGAACATATTAGCATTTTACCTCTGGGTCATCTTTATCTCTTTGTGAAATAAACATCATTTTAAAAGGAAAATAAGATATATATATATATATATATATATATATAAAACGTTTTCTCACCCCTCGTGGGGTGGTATGTGTCATCCTCAAGTTCGGGTCCTCTACCAGAGGCCTAGGAGTTTGAGGGTTCTGCACAGTATCTTAGCTGTTCCTAGGACTGCGCTCTTCTGGACAGAGACTTCTGATGTTTTACCTGGAATCTGCTGTAGCCACTCTCCCAGTTTGGGGGTCACAGCCCCCAGTGCTCCAATTACCACTGGCACCACTGCTGCTCTTACTTTGTACATATTTTCTAGCTCCTCTTTCAGCCCTTGGTATTTCTCAAGCTTCTTGTGTTCTTTCTTCTTGATGTTGCAGTCGCTTGGGATTG